ATATATGTATGTATGGTTTTTTGAGACAGGGTCTCACTATGTAGTTGAGACTGACCTGGAACTCACTATGTAGCCCATGCTGGTCTCGGACTCAGCAATCCTCCTGCCTCAGCCTCCCCAGTGCTGGGATTACAGGCATGCGCCGCCATGCCTGGCTTGTTTTTGTTTTTTTGATGCAGGGTCTCACTCTATGGCCTCAAACTCAGGACAAGCTCTGCTTCAGCCTCCTGAGTGTCCATGACCACGCTTGGCTCCTGGATGTTAATTTTAACTCACATACATAGAATGGGCGGGGAGTTCAGCTATGTGAGCCTGTGCCTGTGGAGTGGGAAAGGAGACAGTGATAAAATGTCACAATGTGAGCCCCCCCAAAATAGATTTTTGAGAAGTCCTTGTGCACCAAAGTTAGGTTATTTGAAATATACTTTGAGGGCCTGGGATTTAGCTCAGTGGCACAGTGCCTGCCTGGCAAGCTTGAAGTCCTGAGTTTGATCTCTGGTCTCCCCCACAAAAATATATGTATTATATATTGAAAAATGTAGCCGGGAGTGGTGGCATACGCCTGTAATCCCAGCACTCGGGAGGCTGAGGCAGGAGGATTGCTGTGAGTTCGAGACCAGCCTGGGCTACATAGTGAGTTCCTGGTTGGTCTCAACTACATAGTGAGACCCTGTCTCAAAAAAAAAAAGGAAAGAAAAATGTATACTTTTACATGTTTTGACCTATGTGTGTCCTGGATTTATACCTAAAATGTTCTTTGAGCAGGAACCTTATTTATCTTTTTGTGTATCTTCTTTTGTGGTACTGGGGATTGAACCCAGGACCTTTTCACTGAGCTATATCTCCAGCCCTTTTTAATTTATTTAAAAACTTTTTTTGTTCAATTTTTTTTAAATATTAGCTGGGTGTGATGGTGCACACCTGTAATCCCAGTACTCGGGAGACTGAAGAAGGAGGATCACCACAAGTTTGAGTCTGACCTGCTTCGCATAGTGAGTTCAAGGGATAACATGAAATACATATTGACAAAAAAAAAACCAAAACATTGAGACCCTGTCTCAAAAAACCATGGAGAGGGCCAGGGATTTAGCTCAGTGGTTCCGGCACCTGCCTCGCAAGCACAGGGACCCAAGTTCCATCCCTGGTATAAAAAAAAAAAAAAAAAAAAAATGCAGACAGAGAGGGAGAAGGGGGAAGGAGAAGTGGGGGAGGGGGAAATGAAAATGTTTATTAGCCAGGCATGGTGCTGCATTTGAGAGGCTGTGGCAGGAAGATCAGTGGTAATTTGAGGCCAGCCTGGGCTATGCAGTGAGTTCAAGGCCAGCATGGACTATAAAAACCAAAAAATGTTTATTAGTACATTTGCTGTATACCACGGGGAGTTGGTATGTTTATGTAACAAATCAATTTGGGGTTTTTTATTGGTTTTTAAAATAAATTTTATTTTATCCCATTTCCACCCCTCAAGCCATCAATTGGTGTGCCCCCCCCCCGCCGATTTTTTTTTTTTTGGTTTTATGCACACTGGCCTTGAACTCATTATGTAGTCAAGGCTGGCCTCAAACTCACAGCAATCCTGCCTCAGCCTCCTAGGTGCTGGGATAACAGGCCTGTGTCACCACACCCTTCCAATTTTTACATTTTTGTTACAGGATTTTACTAAATTGCCCGAAATGGGCTCAAATTGCAATCCTCCTGCTTTAGCCTTCCAGAGTGCTAGAATTACAGGGGTGTGCCATCACACCCAGCTTGTGTGTCTGTTTTTTGGTTGTTTTGAAACAGTGTCTTCCTGTGTAGTCCAGGCTGGCCTTGAATTCACTATGCAGCCCAGGCTGGCTTCCAATTTGCAGTGATTCTCCTGCCTCAGCCTCCCGAGTGCTGGGATTATAGGTATGTGCCACCACAAAAATTTTTGCCTGCCACCAGCTCCTTTTCCTGCCTTGTTTAAAAAAAGAAAAGTCCAGAAATCATATTTCCTTTTGGGGGAAAAAAGGACTGACCTTTACTCCATTCCTGTGAGCTGGAACTAATGTTGTTAGAGTGCTAAGAAGATATGAAGACCTAAATTCACATCTTAGACAATCATTCAGGGAATATTTACATAGTAGTCAAAAAAAGATTACTGTACTTTTTTTTTTCTCCGCATCTCCAAGGCCCAGGTAATCAATTTAAAAAATCTTATCACAGCACTGGGGATTTAGCTCAGTGGTGCTGCTTCCTGTTCACAAGCACGCACGGTCCTGAGTTCAATCCCTGATACCAAAAAATAAATAAAAGTTTAAAAATAAAAAATCTTATTAGGAAGAGTGTGTGTGTGTGTGTGTGTGTGTGTGTGTGTGTGTGTTTCTGCTACCAGGGATCAAACTCAGGACCTCTCGCTTACCAGGCAGGTGCCCATGCCACTGAGCTAAATCCCTGGCCCTTCAAAAAATAGGAAGCTGGGTGTCTTGGAAAAAAAATAAAAGAAAGCTGGATGTATTGGCATGTGCCTGTAATCCCAGTGCTTGGAGAGGTTGAGGCTGAGGCAGAAGGATCACTAAAAATTGGAGGACAGCCTTGCTTAAAAAAAGAAAAGGCTAATTCTACCTCACTACAGAAAGAATGCTATCAAGAAATCAAGCATGGCTGGGTGTGGTGGTGCACCCCTGTAATCCCAGCACTCTGGAGGCTGAGGCAGGATGATCACTGTGAGTTCAAGACCAGCCTGGACTACTTAGTGAGTTCCAGATCAGTCTCAACTACATAGTGAGACCCTGTCTGGAAAACAAAACAACAACAACAAAAAACAAAATCCCAAAAAGAAATCAACCAATAACAAGTGCTGGTGAGGCTGTGGGGAGAAAAGAGCCCTTTTCCACTGTTGGTGGGAGTGTAGATTAGTGCAACCACTGTGGAATTCAGTCTGGAGATTTCTCAGAAAACTAGGATTAGAGACCCCATTTGACCCAGCTATTCCTCTTCTGGGTTTCTTCCCAAAAGAATCGAAAGAATCATACTACAGCGATATATGTGCACCCATGTTTATAGTAGCACAGTTTGTAATAGCTAAAACTTGGAAACAGCCCAATTGCCCGTCAACTGGAGACTGGATAAAGAACATGTAGTTTTAAAATAGGATGGAGTGGGGCCAGGGATTTAGCTCAGTGGTTTGGTGGCCTGCCTTGCAAGCGCAAGGACCTGAGTTCAATCCCCGGTACCAAAAAAAAAAATAAAAAAAAAAAAAAAAAAAAAAAGGATGGAGTACTACTCAGCCATAAAGAATGAGAAACTAGAGACATTTATAAAGGGGAAGAGGAATTGTGAGGGGTGGGGGAAAGGAAAGAAGGAAAAGGAATAAATATGAGAAAACAAAAAAATGGAAACAAAGTCTTTGTAAATAGGGAGTGGGGTGGAGGCATTGAAGGGAGAGCAGGGTACTGGGGAAAAAATAAGGACCAAGATATATCATGTAAAGGTACGAATTCCCAGTGATGAATGTCATATTGTATACCTAAAATGTACCAGTAAATGTAATGAGTGAAAAAAACAAAAACAAAACAGAGGCTACATAGTGTGTTCAAGGCCAGCCTGAACTACAGTGAGACTCAGTATCAAAAATAAAAACAGGGCCAGGGATTTAGCACAGTGGTTCCACTGCCTGCCTCCCAAGCACAAGGTCCAAGTTGATCCCCATTACCAAAAAAACCATAAAAAACAAAAACAATAAGGTAAACATGCATTTCCAGGATGGGAGGGGGTGCCCTCCTGTTTTATTGAGGATGTTGCTGCTTGTCTGTCCTAAGGGTTTCTTTTCTGGCTGGGGACAGGCTTTCCATTGCCTTCTTAGAGTCCAGGATCGAGATCTGCTGATGGCTAGGACTCACTTTGGTCACCACAAACTCATCCACAGTCACAAGCGTCTGCACCACCTCAGCTACTGCACGGAAGCCTTGGGCTTTGGCCACAAGGGGGTCCCACATCCCTTCCTGGGCAGCATTTAGCAACCCTTCACATCCTACTCCCACCAGGAAGTTCCCTGCTTGGTGGATGCCACTCATTTCTGCCATCAACGGTGGGACGGCCAAGCCTGCATTCTCTGCCAAGGTTTTAGGAAGAGACCTCAGAGCCCGAGCGAATGCCAGGAAAGCAGGCCCCTCTGGCCCATCCAGTTTGCTCCCTTTCTCCAACAGCATCCTGGCCAGGGCCATTTCTGTGGCACTGGCTCCCTGCAGCAGCCTGGGATCCTGACAGAGCTGGGTGTAGGCATCAACGCCATGATAGGCGGCCTCCTCTGTGCCCCGCAGCCCTTCAGGCGTAGCTCCCCGGAGGACCAGGGTGAGGACAGGAGCACCTGCATGCTCCCATTCAAACACCACGGCCTTGCTGTCCCCCAGCTCCTGTGTGTGAACTCTCCAGCACTGCCCAGGCTCCATTGGGGGGAGCAAGTACGTCAGCAGAGGGGTGCCCAGCACCTCGCTGAGGTATATGATTTCCCTCCGAGATTCAGCTTGAATCACCATGATGCCCTGCTGCTCAGCCAGGGCGACGGTCTCTTCATCCACATCCCCCCATACGACGACCACTTTGACATCTGAGTCTGCCAGCTGGGCTACCTGCTTTTCTATTAGTTGATTGTTTTCTTTCTTGAATATAAGAAGGTCCTCGAGGCTATAGAGACGGGCAGTTGCAGGGGCACTGGGACTGGCAGGACCAAAGTGGCAAGCAAAGAGGGCCACCCTGGCCCCTGATGACACTGCAGTCACCTGACCACAGGGGTTTGCAGCTATGGCAAGCCCTGGGAGAAGGCAGGAGTCCCACAGCATCCCCCCATGCAGGGTGCATACCCCAATACGCTCAGGCTTGAAGCTGCCACCAGGCTCCTTGCTGGCCCAGCATGCATGGGCTACCAGCTTGGCCAGGTGGTCTGAGTGGGCCAGGGTGTGTGCGTTCATTACAGAGCAGAGGGCCCAGGTTGGATCCTCCAAAGGCCCCAGGGCCCAGATGGCCAGGGAAGGCAGCATAGCCAGGACCTCTGCCAGGGCTGTGCTGTAGGCCTCCCGGAGCTGGGTGTAGGCTAGCCCAGCTCTGAGCAGGAGCTCAGCCTGCTCCAGTAATGCTTCTGCCAGCAGGACCATGAAGGCAGTGCCATCCCCGATGTTCTCAGCCTGGGCCTGCACTGCTTCCCGCAGGAGCTGGGCTGCTGGATGCTCCAGTTGCAGGGCCCGGAGAATGGCAGCAGCAGAACCTGTACACACAGTGTCCCTGTGAGCAGTCACCAGGAACTTTTGCCGCCCAAGAGGGCCGTAGCAAGGCCGGATGACACTGGCTAGGGTCTGCACTGCAACCAGGCTGCTCAGCAGGTGCCGCTGCCCCCTCTGGGGCTCCTGTGGGTCTCCGTGGGGTGGAGGCCCAGCCTCTGGGGCAGCTCCAGATCAAGGGGGGCTGTGCTGCTCATGTTCCAGAACAAGGAAGCTAACAGAAGCTGCAAGAGATTCTGAATCAGCAGCAGGAGTGCACTTCGCGGTGATCATTGAAGCTTCTTAGAGGTAGTTGAAACCAAGGCAAACATCCATGGGGTTAATCAGAAAGGCAGCAAGCTCCCAGTCTGAAAATGCTCTGCCAAATGTGGTCCTAAGGCCACCCCCAAAGCCAATTCTGTAGAGGAGCTGTGCCTCAGTAGCCAAGATGGGATCCTTCACTGATGAAATCACAAAGCACCACACAGAGCCAGTGGTAGGGATGAGGTCATAGAAGGATGGTGAGAATTGGGGAGGCCTCAAACAATACAGAGGGTCAGCAAGAAGATCATATACCCTGATCAGGTTGGATTTATCCTAGGGAGGCAAGGATGGATCAACATATGTAAGTCAATAAATGTAATATACTATATTAACAGCTAAGGACAAAAAAAATTATCATCATGATAGATGCAGAAAAAGCATTTGATAAAATTCAACACCCATTCATGATAAAAACCCTACAGAAAATTGGAATAGATGGTTTTTTTCTCAACCTGATAAAGGCTATGAAAAACCAATAGCCAACATCATAATAAGTGGTCAAAAACTGAAAAACCTCCATGCTAAAATCAGGAACAAGACAAAGATGCCCACTATCAGCACTCCTGCTCAATATAGTTCTGGAAACATTAGCCACAGCAATTAGACAAGAGAAAGAAATAAGAGCAATAAAGATAGGAAAAGAAGTTAAACTGTCATTATTTGCTGAAGATAATACTCTACATAGAAGACCCAAAAAACTCTGCCAAAAGGCTTCTAGACTTAATTGACAGATTCAGTAGAGTAGCAGGATACAAGGCCACCACTCAAAAATTAATAGCCTTCTTGTACACAAATAAAGACTCACTGAGAGAGAAATCAGGGAAACAATCCCTTTCACAATGGCATCCAGTAATGCTTTTGTCATGAAATATGGAATATCTAGGAATCAATTTAATGAATGAGGAAAAGCAACTCGAGAACTACAGCACTCTGAAAAAAAGAGATCAAAGAGGATATAAGAAAATGGAAAGAGATCCCTTGTTCCTGGGTAGGAAGAACCAACATAGTGAAAATGGCCATACTTCCAAAACTTCTGTCCAGAATCAATGCAATCCTGATTGAAATCCCAACAGTATATTTCACAGAACTAGAGAAAATAATCCAAAAATTCATTTGGAACCAGAAGGGACCTAGAATAGCAAAATGCTTTCTAGGCAACAGAGACATGACAGGGGCTATCACAAACTCCAACTTGAAACTATACTACAAAGCCAGTGTGATAAAAACAGCATGGTACTGGCAAAGAAACAGACCCGAGGATCAGTGGAATAGATTAGAAGATGCAAAAACAATTCCAGACATATTCAGCTACCTCATCTTTTACAAAGAAGCCAACCATCCTCAGTGGAGAAAGGATAGCCTTTTTAATAAATGGTGTTGGAAAAACTGGATTTCAACCTGCCAAAAATTAAAGCTAGACCCATATCTTTTACCATGCACTAAACTAAAATTGAAGTGGATTAAAGATCTAAATGTTAAAAACAGAAACATTAAACTTGTTGGAAGATAAGTTAGAACTCTTGAAGACATTGGCATAGGAAAAGACTTTATGAACAAATCCTCAGTAGCATGGGAACTAGCACAAAGAATCAACAACTGGGATCTCAATTTACTAAAAGCTTCTGCACTGCAAGAGAAACCACCAACAGAGCTAAGAGACAACCTGCAATGTGGGAAAATATTTTTCTCAGTTGTTCCTCAGACAAAGGACTACTATCTAGAGTATATAAAGAATTTTTAAAAATCAGACCCCCAAAATATAAAGACCCAATTCAAAAATGGGCATCTGAAATGAACAATTTCTTAGACAAAGAAGTAAAAGCAGCAAGTAACCATATGAAAACATGTTCAACATCTCTCACTGGTCATTTGAGAGATGTGGATGAAAACAACACTGAGAGGGCCAGGGATTTAGCTCAATGGTTCCATCACCTGCTTTGTTAGCACAAGGACCCCAGTTCGATCCCCGGTACCCCTCCCCCAAAAAAGAAAAACAACACTAAGATTTCCCCTCACTCCAGAAAGAATGGCTGCTTTCAAGAAAAACAAATGCTGGCAGGGTTTTGGGGAGAAAGGAACCCTTTTCCATTATTGGTGGGAGTGCAGACTGGAGCAACCACTATGGAAATCAATATGGCGATACCTCAGACAACTAGAATAAGAAGTCCCATTTGACCCAGCTATTCCTCTATTGGGTATCTTCCCAAAAGAATGAAAAGAATCATACCACAGTGATATATACACAGCCATGTTTATGGCAGCACAGTTTGTAATAGCTAAAACTTGGAAACAGCCCAATTGCCCATCAATTGGAGTCTGGATAAAGAAGATGTAATTAAAAAAAAAAATAGAGTACTACTCAGCCATAAAGAATAAGAAACTAGAGACATTTATAGCTAAATGGTTGCACATTGAGGCCATACTCAAGTTAAATAAATAGGACACACGTGCAAATACCGAATAGTTTCTCTGGCATGAAAAACTAAAAGTGTACATAAGGATCGAAATGTATAATTGATAATGTGAAATAGGAAGAAAAGGTCTAAAGGTGTTGAAAGAAACTGGCGCCTGCCAAGTATCACTCCGCACACTGACAGAGCTTCTATGAGAGATCTTTATTAAGGAGCCAAGGTGGCAAGGTGACCCACTTGGTGGAAAGAGAACAAGACAGAGAGAGGAGATGGGAGGGGGCTTGGTTATATATGACTGGTGTAGGCGGGTCAGGGATCATGTCGGCTGCACAGGGTCATTATTTGCAATCTATTCCTTATAGGGACAAGCCTTGTGATGTACGAAATGGAATTTAAAGTGAAGAAGGGGATTATTCATCAGAATGGTGGCAGCCATTCCAAGGCACTTATCTTACAGGAGTAAGGGACGTGGGAGAAGAGGAAAGGAAAGAAGGGAAAAGAAAATTGTAAGAAATGGAAACAAAGTTTTTGTAAATAGGGAAGGGTGGAGGGTGAAGGGAGTGCAGGGGAAATGGGGAAAAAATGAGAACCTTGGTCACATAAAGGTACAAGATCCCAATGATGAATGTAACTGTACTGCATACCTAAAATGTACCAATAAACTTAATGGAAAAAAAATTGGGGAGGCTTCACCACCTGGCCAAAATGAGGCCTTTTTGTGCAGCAGTAGAGGTGTGCACACCTCTCGACAGGACTGAGAGTTTCTTAAACTCTGATGGCAGTGAAGAGGAAATCAGGTGGGCCATGGCAGAGCAGGACTGTAACCCCAGCACGTGGGAGGCTGAGGCAGGAGGATCACTGTGAGTTCAAGGCCAGCCTGGACTACAGGGTGAGAGCCTATGTAAAAAAAAATAAAAATAAAAATAAAGATGAAGAGGAACAAGATGGAAGTTTTTAAACTGGGCATGGTGGCACACCCTTGTAATCCTGATACTCTGGGAAACTAAGCCAGGAGGATCACAAATTTAAACCTACTCTAGGAAATTTAGAAGACCCTGTCTCAGCTGGGTGTAGTGGCACACACCTGTAATCCTCTTACTCAGAAAGCTGAGGCAAGAGGATTTGAGGCCAGCCTGGGCTACATAGTTCAAGGCCATCCTGAACTAAATAATGAGACCTTGTCTCAAGAAACCAAGAACAGGGCTGGGGGCAGGGATGTAACTCAGTGTAAGGGTTATGGATTCAATTTCCAGTTCCACTACCCACTTTAAAGAAGTGTCAATGGCTAATGAAACTGCACTGGCTATTTTGTTCTGTGCTCTCAAGAGGACCCAAGAGACTCTGATGTCTGTGTTCCGCTGTGCTGACGCTGCAGCACTGTGGGACACTAGCCATGTCGTGCTGCCCGCCTTTGCCTTGTGGCTGATTGTCAGCTGGTGCCTGTTTGTCAGGTTCCTGTGGTGTCCGTGGGCCCATTGGTCTTCCAAGTTGCAGATGTAGGAGGCCATGTAGTGTGTATACCTGTGTACCCATTCCCAGTGCTGGGAGGAAGAGATGCTGGCCAGCTGCAGACAGACAGACAGACAGACAAGTGGACCAGGAGGGAGAAGCAAGTGGCCACCCAGGCACCCAGGGTCAGGGCAGGGGAGACCAAGGGAGTGCAGTGGGGTTTAGGGCTAAAAGGCCTTCTCAGTTTAAATTTCTCTAGGACTAAGGGTGTGGCTCGGGTGGACCACTTGGGTAGCAAGTGCAAGGCCCTGGGCTCCTTCTCAGCAATGCCCATACCCACATGCACTGGGAGGGTACAGGAGAGGGGAGAGGCAAAAGAGTTAGGTGCCTTTTTCTATTCTTCTCTTTGTTTTGTTATTTTTCTCAATCCATGTTTGCAGTTCATAATGCTCACATTATTCAAGGGGAACAGTGCATGTGCAAGACACATTTTCATTCTTTTTTCACCTCCTTCTCTTCCTCTCTCCTTTCCTGGTACCAAGCCTCTTGCAGCAAAAATGTTTCTGCTTTAATTGCCCACTGGGCTTAGTGCCATGGGGAATGCAAAGATAGGAACTTCGGGAGGGGAGTGCAGGATGATTTGTATCCAATGGGTCCTGCCCCTGAGAGGTGCCAGGGAGGGCAAGGGTAGAAACCCTGGCTATGTCTGCTGGCACTGGGGGAGTCAGAGAAATGCTGTCCACTTTTTTTACTACTTTGATGCCTGTAAGAAAACTGGAACTCTGGGCCAGGCATAGTGGTGCACGCCTGTGATCCTAGCACTCAGGAGGCTGAGGCAGGAGGATCACCTCAAGTTCAAGGCCAGCCTGGGCTATATAGTGTGTTCAAGGCAGCCTGAGCTACAAAGAAAGACCCTGTCTCAAAAGTGAAAGAAGGAGCCGGGCGTGGTGGTGCATGCCTGTAATCCCAGCACTTGGGAGGCTGAGGCGGGAGGATCTGTGAGTTCAAGACCAACCTGGGCTACATAGTGAGTT